ATTTCCCTTTGTAGCATCTGTTGAAGTAAGCTGTTGCTTATGCAATCGATGCACCTTGGATTTAGCTGGTCTACAAGCTGGAAAGCCAGCTGCTTGCACTCCTCACTGAAATGCATGCCTCACACGCCAGCAGCCCCACAGCCAGCAACCTCATGGGTGATATGCAAGTATGAGAAGGCTCCTCTCCTTAGCTGGGCTCCTGGCTGGCTCAGAACTGGTGCCGGCATAAAGATGGTTTTGGGGTGCTGCACCCCCTGGGGCTGATTGCCCATCCAAGTCCTTCAGGGCTGCCTTACCTTATGCCACTGAGATGCAGTCTCTTGGGGAGCTGGAAATAGGCCCCAGCCCTGTCCCACCCTGTGCTGCCATTGCCCTGCCTCCCAGGCCTGCTTTCCAGCACAGGGGCGATGGGATCGTTCCCACCAACTTTACACTCGCCATGTGCACAGGAGGATTTCCCAGCTGCCAGGTACTCTACAGTTACAAGCACAGCAGAGGAAAAGTGGTGGCCCACAGCCCAGGCCCCTTCCTGTATTTCATATGATGCTTCTCTTGGTGTTGAGCTCCGGGGAGAAGAGCAGGGATGTCTTCTCTCTGCCTCTGCTTCGTTATCAGATGGTGCTATTTATCCACCCCCCATCCCTTGGCTGAACGGTGCCACAGATCACTAGTGCAAGCCATGACTTGTTTTGCCACGGCTTATCCTAGGCACAGTACTTTCCTCGGAGTCTAACTCCTGTTACGTACAGAGACTTTAAGGGAGGTTGGCCAGCCGTCATCCAGCATGGGGCCATTGCTGGGATCCTCCAGGTCATATTCCACTGAAAATGTCACCGGCTTCACATAGTCTGCTGTGTCCTACAGGTGGAGGAAATGCACTGTTAAAACGATGGGCATGCCTAGTGGAATAACACTTTACAACCATCTTCTTTCATCTTACAGCTAAAGAATTTGACTTGAAGGCCTGAAGCAGCACGCACAGCACCTTAGTGCATTGCACGTCGGCTGCGCAAATAGCCCGACATGCACGTACAAGCACATCCGTTGGTGCATGTGCATCTACGAGGGCACAGGGGTGCTAGGAAAGCAGATCGCTTCCTCCTAAAGAGCTGATTATCCTGGAAGGAAGTGCTGTTTCCTCCACTCTGGCTGTAATGTCAGAAATGACAGGCATCGCTGTGGTCCTGATGGGCCGGGAGGAAAGGAGCACACGCTGAACAGGGCTGTGCATGTGTAGCTTGTACGCTTGGCCCTCACTGCAATCCCGGAAAGTGCTCCCTCTGCAATTAGAGGCTCCTCGTTCCCCATCTCAACCGTACATTCAGATGTGAGGAGTGTGAGGCGGGGGTCAGGGAAGCTCCCTCCAGACCAGGACGGAAACCTCTCCAAAGCATGGAGGTTTTATCAGCCAGGTTTTTCTCCTCTGTCCCATCTGTGTGTGTTTAGTTTGGTCAGGTTTGTGCATCAAATGCTTCTTTCCTGGCTGGTCTGTAATCCTCAGGAGCCTTAATTGGCCGCAGCCACTCATGCAAGGGGCTGTGACAAGTGCCTGGAGTTTGGGCAAGGACGTCAGAAGACAGTTTTGAGGTCTGAGTAATAGGGGCCCATCCTCACAAGTCACGGGCTGCCCTGGGGTCACTTCCCCTTGCCTCCCTGCCTGCTTCCTGGGGTGCTTCTCTTCGGGATGGGGTCCCCAGGGTCAGGGCCACTTCCACTTACCAGCACATGGAAGTTCAGCTTGTCACAGTGCTCCCGTCCCGCCAACAGCGTGACCCTCTTGTGCGTGTGCCTGTCGCTGTTCTCGTCCAGGTGAGCCCGCGGTGTGTACCGTCTTTCATCAATGGTGGCGTTATATTTTATTGCTGGGGGGAAAAAAAGAGAGAGAGATGCTCAGCCCTGGACTCTTTGACACGGTTAACTTTTTTGAGATGACAACCTCCCTGCTTGCATTATGAAGTAATATCGTACCAGAGCCTCTAAGCTCAGTTGCAATGGAGCAATGGAGCAGAAATTCATTACAATTAACTCCTGGATAAGGTCACAAGTAGACTCCAGAGGAAGCACAAATGCTCTCCTTATCATGCCGAAGCAGCCCAAGAGGAGTGCACAGATGAGGCTTACACAGGATTAGGCTCTGGCAGCTACAAAGGAGACAAATTCCAGAATTGGGACTCATGAATGCTCCCTGGAGCCACGAATCCTCCATAATTAAATCTCAGGGTGGGCTGTAGGTAGCCTGAACCATCAGGAAGAGAAGTTGTTTCTCTCTGATGTAGTCCCAGCCTAGCGTACAAGGGATTTCCCAGATCCGAGCTACTCTTGCACCTAGAAAAAATGGACACTGGTGTGTATTGCAGTGTGCAAGTCTTATATGCTCCAGGTGATGCATGTGTTGAGCAGAGCATGAGGACTGCATATCTATACGGGATGCATGGAGTTGCAGAGAGCTGGAAGAGCAGTCTCACGGCTGTCCGGGTGCTGTTGGCACGAAGACGGAAACATCCTTATTAAAGTGGTGCCTGGCTCGGTGAACTGAGCCCACAACCCGACAAGCTGTATTTTGCGCTAGCTCTTGCTTTCCGGCCGTCTTCTACAAACAGCCCATCCTTGCTTGGTTACAAAGATACCAACAACCTTGATGAGCTCAGAGGGGAACGGTTGATGAAGGATGCACGGACACCAGCACTGAGTCTCTGGGTGTCCAGCCCCTTCATGCTTCCCGTTTGGTGTTTGTACCGCGCCGTGCACAGCGGAGTTCGGCTTGCAAGCTGGCCTCCTGGGTGTGATTGCAGCACAGATCACCAAATGGCAGCAAAAATACTGCAAACCTCATTGAAACACAAAACAGCAGCAAAAATACTGCAAACCTCATTGAAAAAAAAGAAAGTGGAGGGGTGGCAGGAGAGTCACAACCACCGCCTGGCCTCCAGGTACCCTCTGCAGCCCGCTCGGACCATGCACAAAGCGGTCGAGGAGCTGGCCTGTGTCCAGCCTGGCTTTCTCTGCACTGAGAGGACTGGTGATGTGCCCCTCCAGGCTGCGAGAAAGCCAAGTGCTAAGAGCTCCTGGATACACTGACGTCTGGAAGATATGAAGTTTCCAGAATAGTTTATTGCCCCCAAATGGGGAAGGTAATGGATCTGAGTGTGTCTGTATTCACAGTAGACTGTAAGGATTAGAAAGGATGAGGTCAGGCTTTTTGAATATCAACCAGACATTTTTGTTAAGTATCCACGTTCCTGGTTGAAAAATACCCCAGAAAGCAGGTCATTTCAGGATACTCAGAAAATAATCTACAGGATGTTTAAATAGCTGCCTGATAGACACGTGTCTGTTGGACTGTATGGCTCCAAAGGCCTCTTTACCGGGGCCTGTTGTTTCTTGGAGACGTTAATGAGAGAGAATTGTTCTTCCTAAATACTGTTGTAAAAACAAAACAAAACCCAGCAACAAAAAAAGTGACCAGAAATGCACTGCTAGGCACGGCGAAACCAGATGCAAACACACACACTCATTCAAAATCCAGCTTTGTGCGGCGCTTTGGAGCTATAACCTTCTTCGCTCTTCTCTCACTTCCAAAACCTCACCTAACTGCTTGTTCTGTGAACTCTTAAGGTGTCAGGACAGGTTGCAAATAAAATATCAGCTTTGATCGCCGTGGCCTGAAACCCCGGCCTCCCTGGGAATTTTACCGCTGCCTTCAACGGCGACATGACTACTTCCATAACGCAAGCTGCTGTAGATTTTGGGTGGGTTGAAGTCTGCGCTGCTCGCGTTTCCTCTCTGCTCTAGCTGAGTCGC